TGACTCATAAGACTTATTTGAACATGTTGTAACTAGTTGAGAAATATGCTCTCTTAGAAAAGATTATTTGTTTTCTTCTTTTTCCCTAAAACAGATTCAATAGAATATTGACGCTTGGTATGACCGTATCTAGTGCGCTCATTTGAACTATCACTTTATTTAGGAATTTCATAAGTACATAAATTAGGGGCTTCCTGACCAAGAACCCTTGCATGCTCACCGATGGTGACGACTCCACCAAACATCAAATCAAGCTTCTACTCAAGATCAGGATCAATGCCACAAATTTTAATTTTTTTTGGGTTAGGGATAGCATACATTTCATTGAAATGAAAATAATATTTATATTGATCTGCACATTCTAAGCAATATATTGGAAAGAGTAATTAAAGAATTAACTTCATCTCCAATTTTTCCTTCCAACGCTCATCTGAAGCATCGATAGTCTTCTTTTTGTCATCCCAATCCAATCCAATTGATCCTACTGTATCTAAAGTTATGTATTGCGACTGTGGTATGCAATATTGCGTATTTACTTTACGATGACTAGTTAATTATGGGAGAAAATTTTATAGGTGTCTTGGAAATAGATCACATGACGATTGCGGCTTATGGGCTGATGACTGTGGGAATTCAATTCTAATAATGATCATGTATAGAAAGAAGCTTTGGAATGAAATCCACCAACATACTTGATTGCTTGGACATTAAGATATGTTATAATAACGTTACTTGGCGTTATTATACTTTTAATTTTTTTGTGTTATTTTGTGTTAAGTGATGTATCATTCTTGATGTAATATAATAATGGACATTCGACTTCTTTGTAAACTTCTGTAATTTTTTTCTATAGTTCTATTTGAATTGTTTCTGAAACTGGGAACTCGCAACTAAAACACATGTACATAAGGTCATTGCAATCTTTTTTCTCAGAAATACCTGCAACACAACATATCCATCCAAACAGACATACTATTTCACCAACAACTGCTTTCTCACACCAATTCATCCTAGATGTAGCCTCACAACTATTTTTTGAAACATCTGCAGTTGCACCAAATACGCCCAAAGTTTTGTACAGTTGAGCCAATTTGTGCTTTGGTTGTACATGGTTTGCAGTAGCTTTATATCTTATTGGATTAGTGGCCTTTGATTAAACTTTAAAGGTTGAAAGCTATAGAGTCCTTAGATTCATCTTTTGAAGTCTGATATTTGTATATTTCCATGCATATTATGTTTGGATGTATGAGTTTTTATGTTTTCAGTCGCATTTAAGGGCGAGATTGTATTTGTGTGCTTGTCTTTGGTTGATGGTTGTGTGAATGTGTGAAGTGTGGTGATGGTGGTAGTGGTTTTTTTTGGCTGAGAGCAATGTATGGATGAATCATTCATGTTTCTGATGATCTGGTTAGGAGAGTATATGTTTTAGATTCAACTTATGTTAAGAAAGGTAGAAGCAGATCTCGACAGACATGGGCATGTTGTATAAAAAATGATTTTAATTTATTAGAATTAAATCAAAATATGACACTCAATAGGACACAGTGGAGGAAAAGGATTCATGTAGCCGACCCCACTTAGTGGGATAAAGGCTTGTTGTTGTTGTTGTTGTATAGTTTCAAAGGTGTTTTACTCTTGATGCATGATTGACTTGAGTTTGTTTGAGGGGAAGGTGGGTTGGGGCGGGCAGGGAGGATGATGGACTTGTTTGCATGTTACACATGTAAAACGTCTAGCTAGCATAAGTATCCATGTGTTATGTTGGGATGCATAATATTAGATTAGCTCAATGATTATTTCTTTCATTTTTTTGCTTCTTTAGTCTTTTCAGAGTGAGCATGAGGTTGGGTTTATTAGTTTTTTTATTTGATGTTTATAAATGAGTTTTGGTCTTATTATACTAGTTTGTCTTTTATCTATCTGTTTAAGCAAATTGGATTAGTGTCCATTTACTGTTGTATTGGGTCACACTCTGACTCTTAATTTTTCAAACATTAACGATTCATATTATTTCTGATTGCATTGAGGAGCCTTGAAAAGTTATGGCTCCAATTTTCAGCATTTTCCACCATGGTTTTGAAGTTTAAGGGGGTAAGTGATTCTTATGTGGGCTCGTAATTTAGTTTGCTCTTGATGCATAGCACTCAATAGTCTATTAAGAACCCTTATTTGAGGAGGATCGATGATTGATTTGTATGACTCATGTTAGAGGAAAATGAGCAGATGCATATGAAAGTGGTTGAGTAGTCCATGCAAAACATTGCATTTGCTAATGATTTTGGTCTGTAAAGTGCCCGTTAACATCTATTTGGGTGTCGTGTCCTTGTTCTACTACTAAACTTTTTTTCTATGATACTGTAGTTTTTAAAAGAAATGATTGTAGAATATTTAATAAATGAAGAATTTTAGTTCTTTTAAATGATTTCTTAATTTTGCGTATTTACAGTTTTTGGTGATAAACGAAATTTCATCACTAGCTTATCATGTTCCATTCAAAGATAATAGTAGGCAGTAGATTAGTATTGGAGGATTCCTTTTAGGGTGACTGGCTGCAGCACTAAAGGAAGTTCTTATTTTACTGATAAGCATGTAATTGATCAAAAAAGATTATTGGTATTTTTTCTAGCAGGTTTTATGTTCCCTCTCTGCTGCTCTTTTAATTTTGTCTATCCACGGCTATTGGGAAGTGGAAACTGTTGATTATAGATGGTATTTTGATATACTTCATCAGCAAAAATTTCATATCATCTACCTAGTTTATATGAACTAAAGATTTCTAATGACTGATACAACTATTAGGTGGCATTATTGTTTCAAAAGAGTTAGGATTTCAAATCGCCTAATGTCTACTATACATATAAGGCTGCGTGCATTAATCTCATCATAGACCTTGCAGTTGTAAATAGATTCTTTCAGCTATGCTGTAAATGAACATAAAGAAGTTTGAAGAGATTTCAATCTTAATTTTGTTAAACAAAGTTTGCTCTCAAAGATTTAATCAGTTTTTTAAAATCTCGAAAGTTTATAGTTAATGCTGAAGAATATGTCCTTATCTCAAAATTTTAGTCTTTATTTCTGATCTTCATTAAGGACTAAGTTTCTAAGAATTAGAAGAACTTTTTTATTTTTATTGCTTGAACACCTTTTCTATTTTTTGTTAAATTTAGAGGGATTTTGTTGGAAATATATCAATTATTTATCCTCTATATTTTTATTGAAAATACAATTCATGTGGACACCTTTATGGATGGGATGTGTTTTCTTTTATTTTGAAATCTTTTAGATCTAACTCAATATTGCATGTTTTTATATTGACCCGTTGAATTCCAATCAACACTCATATAGTTCAGATTTACTACCTCAATGTGAATTGCTAATTATTAAACATTTATTTCTTATCACTGGCTAATTGTTATTTTTGCCATTGCTGTTCCTGTTGTTTTCTCTAGGCTGTTTTTATTGTTGTTTTGCATGTTTGCAATTGCTCTATAATTCTTGTTGCTGCTCCGCCATTCTAGATATTGTTTATGCTTTTTTTCACCGTCTTTTTTTTTTTGCCTTTTCCATTACAGCTTTCGCCTTGTGTGAAGCCTATTTCCTTTTTTTTGTCACATCATTTAAACTTTTTTTCTCCCGTATTTAGTGGTGAGCATTCGTTCGGTTCAGATCGGTTCAGATGGATTGGTCTTAAAATTGGTTAAGAATCCAAAAAACTGAACCGATTTAAATTTTGATAAAACTGAATTGACTGAAACGAAATTTAATTTGGTTTACACTGTTCGATTATGAGCAAACCAAAATTTTTCTTTTTATTGGAGTTTGGCTAAGAAAAAACATTCCAAATTACATAATTTATCTACATAATATTAATTTAATGTTATAAATCTTTATTTATTTCAATCAAATGTTAAATATTATAATTTTTTTTATTTTTTTAGTTTTTTTCGCATAAAATTAAAATATAATAATAAATTTTAATAAAATTTTGATTTTTCGATTTCTTTGGTTGAATAAAAATTAAAACCAAATATTAATGTTTTAAAAACCAAAAATCGAAATTCATTTTTCAACCGAGCTGAACCAATCAAATTTGATCGGTTTGGTTCGGTTTTTCAATTTTGACGAAAGAATGCACACCCCTACCCACATCCTAATCTTATGCTCGTCTCCTTACTTCCTTCTTTGCAGTAGAAGGCTTTTTATTTTGACAGGCCCTTAAGGCAATTTAGGAATTGAAATAAAGATATGATTTCTATTGCTGGAATTGTTGAAGTACGTATTAAAACATAATTGTTTGGAGCTGATTTTGATAGATTATGAGAATTTTCTTATTTAGCATCTTTTTTTGGGCTATAAATGTGATCCGGGGGCATATGAAATTTATTGGATATTGAATGTTGGAATAAATTTTCAGTTTGCCTCTCTTCTTGTATATGCTAGTTGGATGTTTGTTTACTTCTTCACAAGTATGAACGACTACTTCTGGTGCTCCTTGTACCGATCTGTGGTGTTCTGCTGCCTTTTTTTGGATAATTAGTTTCCTTTTCCTTATTTTAATTTGCCTTGTTACTTGTTTTGCACGTGCAATTGAAATTTTGTGAAGTGTGATACTTGTCAGATTTTTCATTTCGAAGTGTGACCTTGATTGTTATTAAATTTTTATGTTTGTTCACTATTTTTTTACTATTTCAAATTTTTGGAAATTATTAAATTAATTTTTGGGATTAAAAAAAGTTTTCTGTTTTTAAATTAAAGTGATGAGTGTTTGGTAAAATTATTATTTGATTACCTGAGGATTGTTATTTATTTAATTTTTTTTTCTTTTGTACCCATCATTTGAAGAAGGTTAAGCGTTTTTTTTGTTTATGAGGCTAAGTAGTTTGTTGTTTCTGTAATCTCTTCCATTTTTTAGTTCCTCAGCTTATTATTCTTGCAAAAGATAGAATTAAGGAAGAAAACTAATTGATATTTTTATCTGGCCTCATGATTTCTCAAAACAGGTGAAGAGCTATCTAAAAAGCAAGCAGCTCAGGAATCAACAATTAGGAAATTAAGGGCACAGGCATGATGGCTAATTTTCTGTCTTTTATAGTTCTGAAAAAATATAATTGAAAATTATTTCATCAAATTTTTTTTTCTAGTTGTTTAGATAAGAGAGATGGAAGAGGAAAAACAGAGGATTTACTCTAAGCTTCAGGTACGTTAAATGAAGAATTTATGTATTATGTTCAGTTGAACTTGAATTTTAGAGTTGTTTTTACTTTAGTTTTTCTTTTCTCGAATGAAAAACTACTGAATTTTGGTTTATTTTTATTTCTTCACTGTGCAAGTAATTTTATGTACTTTTATTTATCTCAACATTTCATGAGGTATGTCTGGAAAAAGTAATAGTTGGTTAGAGCTATCAAAATAACTCATCATTTTTGGCTAGCAACAAAGTTCTTGTTTGATTCTTTTGTTAAGTGTGCTAGTATTGTATAATTTTTTTGAGGTTGTTTTCTTGACGAGTTGAACATAAATGTAATTTAACAAAGCTCCATTTATGTTCGAAAAGATACGTAGAGGCTGTATGAGAGGACCCAAAAAAAGGTGTCCTACCCATACGATACATCAAACACTAGTATCCTAAAAGGATGAAACATAGATAAAACACAAAAAAACAAAACTTGCAAGAAATAAACTGCTAGGCACGAGCCAGCTTGGTCTTGCCTTTGCCTCTGGTTCTAGGAGCGGAGACAACTAACAAATTGCTAAGTGTCGTTCCATTACCCGAAGTTACTAGAGTATCATCCATTAAGTTCCCAAGTTGGGGTGTGCCTCCATTCTTCTTTTTCTTTCTAGATATTTATACCTGTCATTTCTCATCCGAGGACTGACTCATTTGATCGGTGTGGTCAACATATTGTTGGACATGTGGGAGAGAATGAGCCCCCAGCTTCTGACTAGCAGTAACAACATTCTGATTCTGAAGAGATGGTAAGCATGTCTCTTCAACACCTGATGCATCCTGTGGTTGTGGAACTTCAATCTATCCTGATTATCGGACCCAGGACCCAAGTAAACCATCTAATCAGTCGGAAGAACAGAGACAGTATTGTCTCCGGTAGTGGGAGTCTCGGGTAGTGGGAGGGGGAGGTGGCATCGTGTCAACTGGTGTTTCAATAGTCTGTGGAATGCACTCAAGAGCGGATGAAGGATATGTATGAGGTGGGGTAGATCCAGAAGAGGGGTTACTTGAAGGTTTTAAATTCGGATGCAACTGATAACAGATGCAACTCTGATAACATTGAGAAGGAGAATGTTCAAACATACGTCAGTGGTTACAATAAAGTGGTATCTATTCAAGTTCTGCTTGCTGCCAAAATCCCTGATGTTGTGTGTCAATCCATATTTCTCGCGGAAAAGGTAAAGTAATATCTCTTTCTATCAAAATTCTGGCTTCTAAAGGCCGAGTCAGATTCACTGTAGGTGTGTCAGCTTTGAGGGATTTATCGTATACCATCGCTAAAGCGAAGAGATGCTCTTGATCAAAAAGGTGGATCTTCAAACCTGGGAAGCGCAGCCAAACAGGAATGGTAGGAGGTTCAATACGAGGGTCAAAATCCACCGTCCATTTTGAAACCTTCATCACCTGGTTTTTTATTTGAAGAACTCTTCTCGCAAATAAATTGGTGTAGTCTTCGTCATTTGATAATTGAATAAGAATGTGACGACCATCCAATTTACCGATCTTCCAACCCCCTTTCAGCTTCATTTGCTCAAAGTCCTTTCGAATTAGCTCTTAGCTCAAGTTTAGGGTTTCCATAAAGAAACTTACCTACTAAGAACAGTCGGCAGGGCGCAGCTAGGGTGGAGATCTCTGCCTCAGTGAGAAAGATTGCAGGTTTGTCGTTTTTACGGGAAGCTTTTTTGAGAAATCCGGTTTCGATGCCAAGAGAAAAATTGTCGTGGTATCGTTGCGGAAACATATTCGATATTCGATATTCGAAAGAGGGGCAGAGACGAGGTTATCACTGGCGAGGGCAGCGGCGTAGGAACGTCCTGAAACCATTTCTTCAGCAAGCTGTCGATCGACACAGACAGACGCAGACACAGACATCCGCGAACTCTGGCGAGAGGTCGACAATGCTGGCGGAAGGCGAGTGGAAACGAATCCCTAGGCAACGCAAATGATGGCGTTGCGACGCGTGGAAGACGACGCCAACGCACGGACACGTGAGAGAGTGGAGATCGGAGCAGCAACGACAGTCGAAACGCTAGGGTTCGCCATGGGGCGGAACCCTAGCAGAGTTATTTTATATATATATATATATATATATAGTTGAATTATATATTTTAGGTTTATTAATAGATTAGCAGATAGGTGGAATGACTCTGTCATGCCCAGCTTGCTATTTATTTTTTTTAATTTGCTTGAATTCACTATGGTTCATCTTAAATTCTAATAAGTAGATCACAAGCATAATGTGCATGAATAATTTCAATTATGAGTTAATAAGAACACACAAAAATTCGAATGAGCTAAACATGAACTGACAACAAGCTCACTTAAGCTTGATTTGTTTACACCCCTATTAATTGTTAACAACCAATTTATACATAGAGCTAGCTACTTTGAACTGAAAATTATGTCTTTTTAAAATTTATATCTTGAAAGCTGTGAGAGATGACACGATTAGTCCAACTATAGAGTATTTCAAGTGCTTTACTAAGGTGCTAATACATTAAAGGGCAAGTGCCAACTAAAACCTTTTACTGAGATTTTTTTTTTATTTTCCATATGGAGTAAATCCATATGAATATGAAAATGAATTTTGAAAAATTTTATTAGAAATTAAATCTGCTTTTAGGAATCTGCTTTTAAGATTATTTTGTGGAGTAATGCTTTCCATGTAATGATACGTGCTCTATAGGGCTACCATTTATGTTATTTACTCATTTGTCTTCAAAAGGATGCTCTTTGCATGCATTTTTTTGGAAACATCAACAAATATGTTGAAAATTGTAGATGACCAATTGTTGTTGAGGAGAATCATGCAACAAAATTAATTTTTTTTTAATATGTTTGATTTAGATGGTATGCTGTGCATAAACTATAGCAATTATCTTCCTGTAGTGGTTTGATTCTAGCTGCGATCTAATGACCAGCGTGAGAGGATTAGTTAAGATGTAGGATAGAACAGTTACATTCATTTCCATTTGTGATACTCAGAAATTTGTTTGCTCCAAGTGTAGTTTTATATTGAGGCAATCCATATGACAACGATTCTGCAGTCTTTTTGGACAGGCTGTATATTTGTGCGGATTTGTGTGTGAATGTGTGTGTTAATGCTCCTATTACTATTTCAGAAGTAAAATAGCTAGTTTATGGACTGCCAATCTATGTGATCTATGCATGATAGTTTCCTTTCTTTTAATTTTTGTTATTTTAAGTTCCTTAAGCTAACTTTGCTTTCTGCACAAAAATTTTACCTATCACTAGGTTACATAAATTCTATATTCATCTTTTTTTTTGGTTGTGATAAACTATTTGCTGACACAGCCAATGCAATTTCTATGAAAAAAACAAAGTTTCATCTTTCCATTTCATTTCGGTTTTTTAAGCAAGTGCCTATACCTAAATATCTACTGCACTCAGCTTAGCTCCTGAAGCATAAAAGGAACTTTTCATAATTCAGCTTAATTTTTATCACCAAGTGTAGCAACATATATTAGTGTAGTATCAATAGTTGCTATTGAGTCTGTGCTTATTGTGTAACACAAATTTGAAAAGGAAATTCAGCCATTTCTATTTTTCATGCATATGAGTGCAACATGTATTATGTTTGAGGATACCTTCATTACAAATGAACCGCTTTTATGTATATCATAAAGTTTTTCAACCTTAATATCTGTAGTTTTCGTATGACTCAGGTTGAGGAGGCGAAATCAGAAAGCATTAAAAAAGATAAAATGGCTACAGAGAAGTTGTTACAAGAAACAATTGAAAAAAATCAAGCAGATCTTGCTATTCAGAAGGAATTTTACGCTAACGAATTGAAACTTGCCAAGGAGGCTGAAGCACTAGCTGAGGCCCGTGCCAATAGTGAAGTTCGACTTGAACTTGAGAGTCGTTTAAAAGAATCTGATGAAAGAGAATCCATGCTAGTTCAAGCTCTTGAGGAGTTGAGGCAGGCTTTGACAAGAACAGAACAGCAGGTACTGATTTCAAGTATGTTTTACTTGATGGCCTGCGTTCCTGTCATTACAAATTTTCTTCCACTTAAATTCTTGTCTGTTCTCTTTATTTTCCATTGACATAACAAACTGCCCCCAAAACATTGTAGGCTGTTGCCAAAGAGGAAATGCTTCGTCATGACATTGATGAAATTCAGAAGCGATATCAGGTTTGTCATAGTCAACTTTCAGGTTGCTCGTGTTATCTGAGATTAATGTTTTTCAAGGCTTTTATATCATATTTATTAAGAAAATGTTCAGGCAAGCGAACTTCGATATAATGAGTTGCTCACTGAAGTTCCTGATTCAACCAGGCCACTTTTGAGGCAGATTGAAGCCATGCAGGTATAGAAATTAACAATTTTATGTGATTTTCTTTTGAATATCTTAAAGTTTGTTGCTTTTCTAAAACGTCTTCTGAATTAATCTGAATACTTGTCATTTAATGTGTGTATTTCTGAGTTTTAGTTATGATTTTGGTGTTAATAGGAAACAGCTGCTAGAAAAGAGGAGGCTTGGCGGGGAGTGGAAAGAGCTTTGAACTTTCGTGTCCAGGTTTTGATTTTATTACATATATCTAAGGATCGTATATATTTTAACTTATTTTGTAAGTATATCTTGATGAAGAACAGTAAACTTAATGCTAGAAATATCTGTCAAAGAATCACTTGAAAAGAATTATGGTAATTAAAGATAGATCGCATGGATAACTTCCCTCTTCTATAACCTTTCGAAGGTAGTTATTATTTAATTTCAATAAAATCTCTCCTTTTGCATGCTTTGGTCGTATTGGTCCCACCCTATGTGAAAGTGATTGCTCTTCAAGAAAGTAAAGAAGTATAGAATTTATTCAAATGTTTGTACAATTTACACGCATTAACATGCTAACCACAAAGCATGCTTCTAATCTATATGCTGCTAATATTTTAAGAGTTCAAGTGCAAAAGAATCTTGGAGTATTCCATTTTAGTACTGATATAATAAGGAAATCCAATCTCAAGCATATCATTAAAAAGAAAGCTACTTTTTTGGGATAGAGCTCTACATCTAGTAAAAGAAATTTTGGATAAAGATGGTAGTATCAATTAAATATTGGACTGTAACTGTTCCTCTTTAATAAATCTTATATTTCATGCCTTTATTTCATTTTTATTGAAATTTTAACCGAATCATATTTTTCTGATTTTGTTGTTTTTTTTAAGTACTTAGTTATCCTATATAATGCCAATTTTTTGTTTACAAGTTAAAATTTTTATCTCTAATCCCTAGTGTTGTATCTTTTCTCAAAAATCATAATATTTTTTGTAAATTTCCCGGGATCTTGTTTTTTTTTTAAATCAAACAAATCATGATAACAATGATTCTTGTACATATTTGGATTTAGAACATTAACATGCAGGCATGCAATTACCTTCCTTTTTCCATGCTTTTACACATCTGATTTCTGTATTTCTTAAAGCATAATCATCAACGGTCATCATCATTATCTGTGATTATGTTTGTAGCAGTTTGTAGCAGCATGAATTCTTCATGATTCTCATCAGTACTGGTTGTAGAAATTGTAGTTTTATAATTATCATTAGTTATTTTTAAATGCTACATTCTCTTGTATTTAATCACATTGCATTTGGTTTATATTATAATATCAATTGATAAAATTCTGGCAGGAGGCTGAAGCTAAAGCTGCAGCAGCAGAAGAAAGAGAAAGAGCCATGAGTGAACAACTATCACAAAGTTTATCGCGAATAACTGTTCTGGAAACCCAGGTCTTCATCTCACCTTTTTTACGCTCATTTCTCTCCGTTTTTCTGCATATATGCATACTAGCAAGTTTGTTAATAGATGCTCATCTTTGTCGGCGTTTCTCTCTTGTATTATTGCAGTGATTTCATCATATTTAAATATGCTGATTTATTGAAAAATATTTCAGATTACGTTTCTTAGAACAGAGCAAGGTCAGCTAAGCAGAACACTTGAGAAGGAGAGGCAGAGGTCTTCTGAGAACCGTCAAGAATATCTCATTGCAAAGGAGGAAGCAGCAACTCTGGAAGGTCGCGCCAATCAGTTAGAAGATGAAATCAAGGAGCTCAAGGGTAAGCATAAAAAGGAGTTGGAAGAAGAAATATCACACAGGCAACTAGTGGAGATGGTAAGTTGTTTTGGTTATTTCTGTTATGATTTTTGTCTATTAGCGCACATCTTCTACTGAAACCCACGTGCTCTGCAGGGTCTGATGTTGAAAATAAATTATGGCGAAAACCTCACAAGAATTTCTTTTTTTACAAGTGGAGAGATATAGATACATCTCTAAGAGCTATTACAAATAGGAATAAATAAAAATGGGGGTGGGGATACTATAGCAAGTCTATAAAGAAATTGATCTATCAACACCAAGCTTTAATTTGTGTGCCTTAAGCTTGTTGTTTTAATTGGAAAGTGAGTAGGCCCCACTATAGAAGAGAGAGAGAGGGAGAGGCTTAACAGAAATTCAACCATTAATATTCTTGGTATGATAGCTGTCCACTTTTAATTGTTTTGTTCATACTAATGTAGTGCACAAGTGAATGGAGGATTAGTTTGTATTTGTAAACTTATATATTGTATATTTGATTATTTTAGCTTAATTATGAAGCCTTTTTTATTGGTCATGTTTGAGTAGGGGTGACTATCATCATTATATTTGTGTTTTCCTTGGGCTTGATGTTGAAAGTGACGTGAAACTTCCATTGTTGTAATCTTCTTTTTTCAACCTTGAAAAGTGTTTCCTTTTGTTTTCTCTGAGGTATGAAAATTTGTGAATCTGATAGGAAATGAGATAAATTTTCACAAAAAAATAGGGTAGACACAAAAAAGTTTATTTCGCCGATACCAAATCAAAACAATACAATACCAAGAAACACAATTCAACTACATACAAGATAAATACCTACAATTTGAGAGGTAAACAATCTCTCTCAAACTTTAACTTCTAAGACTCAAGACAATAATCTCATAGCAGACCCTAATCCTAACTATATTAAGCCCTCTTTATACCAAACAATATTAGCTCACAAATGGCTAAATTGCCTTTTTAGCGTTGCACCTATATAAATCTTCAAATTATTTGGCGGGCTTGGTTTGGCGGAAAGTACCGTCGGTATCAGTCTAACATTACTCCCCTTTTAATAACACATTGTTCTCAAGGTGGAAAAGATGAAACTGATCAAGTTGTATGACTCCCACATAGCGTTATAATATGATAATTCTTTCCATTTAATCAACACTTCTTACCCACCTGTCGATTCTTGGCACTCCCCTTTTAGCTCAATTGGCTCCAAGAGCAATTTCATATCCTCAGTCAAGGTAGGGGAAGTAAAGAAGAGGGCGCATTGTCATCCCTAGTGCATCTCAGCTGCAATACGTGAAACAATGGATGAAGTGTCGATGAAGGTGGCAATTTTGAACAAAAACCCACTCATCAATGCATTTTGTGATCTCGTAAGGACCAAAATTGCGTGTGAGAGCTTTTCATTCTTGCGTCTGACTAATGTTTTTTCTACCGATAAGGCCGAAATTTTATATACACCCTATCTCCTACAACAAACTTCATATCCCTTCGATGTACGTCAGCTTGTTTCTTCAAAAATTGTTGCGCCTTCTAAAAATGTCCTCTCAATTCTTTCAATATTTTGTTTCTCTTCTAAGTACTGATCCATCAGAGATACCGGTGTAGTATTATCCATAATGTATCAAATTAGATGGATCACGCCCATACGAGATTTTAAAAGGAGACGACTGAGAAGTTGTATGATGCAATGTGTTGTATCAATAATTTGCCCATGGCAGTCAATTGGCCTACTCTTGTGTGTGTAAGATACAAAGCAACATCAGTAGGTCTTGACGTTCCGATTAATAACTTTTGATTGTCTATCAATCTGCGGGTGATAGGCTGTGCTTTTTTTCAACACGGTCCCTTGTATTTTAAATGCTCCCTCCATAAATGACTCAAGAGGAAATTGTCTTGATCCAACACTATCGATTATGAGATCCCATGCAAGCGGACAACCTCCGTATAAAAGCAATGGTGGCAAAAACAGTAGTATAAAGCTGAAGTAAAGGTACAAAGTGAGTGTACTTAGCCGATCCACCACCACCAAGATAACTATAAATTCTTCTGACCACGGTAAGCTTGCAATGAAATCCATTGTCACCTTCTCTCATACCTTCTCCGACAATTCTAGAGGTTATTGCGACCCCCTAGGCGTTAATGTCATGTATCTGTGTTGTTAGCACACATCACACTTTGACACCATGCCCTCCAGATTCTTTCTCATTCTCACCCCATACAATTATGTTGCTATCATCCTATATATTTTGAACACGCCATAGCGCTACCGTGAAACTTATGTTAACAACTTCGGCATGTGTTTTGAATTTCGAGATAACAAATAAAGTTTCTGTTAAAGTAAATATTGGTCATCCGGTGAATAAACGGGATAGTTGTTCTCACTCTTTGCTAAAACCCAGCTATATCTTGCTTAGTTCTCCATCTACCTCACTTTCTTGTGTTAGGACCTCTCAATCTTAAAACCGAAGGAACTAACAATACCAATAATTGAGCTTCATCCATAGTAATTGATAAGGCATCAAGAACCTTATTTTCTAATCTCGAGGGATACTGAATATCGAAGTCATACACCAATAACTTAGCCACCTCTGATATTCCTTAGTCACAATTTGTTGTTCTATCATAAGTTTAATGTTTTGTTGGTCTGTGCTTACTGTAAAACGTCATCCCAACAAATATGATTATCATTTCTTTATAATAAGCACAATTGTCATAAGCTCCTGCTCATAAGTTGACTTGAGTCTGGCTCTCACAGTCAACGCTTGACTAAAATAAACAATGGGTTGTTGACACTGCATAAGAATTGTGCCTAACCCATAACTTGAAGCATCCATCCCTACAATGAATGGTTGGTTGAAATCAGGTAGTGTCAACCCTGATAAACTCGTCATGAACTTCTTTATCTTCTCAAAAGCCCGCGTCGTTGCTTCCCCCGCTGGAAGTTATTGTTCTATCAACAATGGCTATGCAAATGAACTATGGTCATTTACGAACTTTCAGTTGTATCTTGTAAGTCTTAGAAATTCTCTCCGTTCCTTCAAGGTTTTAAGTAGTGGCCAATCCAACATAGCCGCCACCTTTGATGGATCCACTAACACCACATGTCCTCAGTACTCCACTTCAGTTGGGCAAACAAACAGTTCTTTATGTTAGCGTACAACTGGTGCTCATTGAGTACTGTCAACAACTTCAAATAATCAATGTGATCTTCCAAAAAACAAATGTAACCTAGGATATCGTCAAAGAAGGAAAGGCTGAAACAACATGTTCATCAGTGATTGAAATGTAGTCGGTATGTTGGTGAGCCAGAATGGGATAACCAGAAATTAATCAAGTCAATCTTGGAGTATATCATATGCCTAAGCAACTCTTCCAATGGCTTATCGATCACCAGGATGAGAAATTTGTCAGGTACTATTTTTTTATTCACTGCTCGATAATCCGCACAAAAATAATAACTCCATTTTATTCCTTACTAACAAGATCGAGCTAGAGAAATGACTCACATTAGGTGGTATGATCTCAACCTCCAATAATTCTCGGATATTTCTCTGATCAATCTCTCGATCTTATCTTTATGTATTTGGGGGTAGCGGTATAGGTGCACACTGATGAGAGAAACTCCCAGATTATTACTTGCCCGTGTTCCCTCCGAGGTAGCTATCCGCGTGGCGGCTGAAAAACTTGTGCATATTATTGTAGGAGCAGTTGGATCGGTGTCGGAATCTCCGACAGCTCCACGTCTCATGCATCTCTTCCATGCTATGAAACTCAATAAAAAATCCCAACCTTACATCCAATATTTGCCTAACTATGATTTTCAGTGTCACTAAGTTCTTGCACAAATTAAGGTTACCACGAAGCACCACCGTCTTGCCTCTCCTGGAACTCATTATCAAAAGTTTTAATTCAATTGTCTCTCATAAGGGCTGCAACCATTTCATAACCAATATCACGTAAGTGCTCCCTATATCCAAGAGAAGAAAATTCTCCATCACCTGAATACCTCAAAATCACTCCTTTTTAAACTTCCTTGATCTTTGTCATTTGTTTAGACTCCATCATGACTCCAAATTTTTTTGTGTTAACCCTCTCAAGCCTCAATTTTATGCGGAGCATCAGCCTAGAATCACGGCATGCAAAATCCCGCGTATCCACGGGATGGCATTACACCAACGATCGCAAATTTAGACAAGAGTGGGGGATGCCAACTTTAAATTTGGTCATTTCCTTTCTTTCCTTTTTGATTTCATTCATATTCCTCTATTTTCTAATTAGAGGAATAGAAAATATATGTTTAAAGTGTCGTGCCTGTGTCTTTCCTAGGAACAGGTGATCTAATCTCCTTGCCGCCCTTACATCACAGATTCGGATTCTTCGTTGATTTCAACTAGGACAGTAGTTGACCGACACCCATCTCCCGCCCATACGGCCTCAAATCCCCATATTTCATTCCCTCGATATTCCACAATCACCTCCTCACTATCCCACTTCAAAATACGTTGTAGGAGTCCTAGATTGGTATCATCTGGTAGCAGAGCCCGACAAACCTTTGATTTTTGGGGTTATGTGTTCCTTGGCCCAAAACCAAAATTCTAAATAACCTAACCTAACACCCGCACCAAAAAACTTTTTCTCCAAATCATCCTTGTTACAATTCTAAGCCTCAACCCTAAAAATTTTTAGAATCCAATTTTTCTTATGTCCACAAAAATTCCACCTTGACACCTATCTGAAAAACCTAAACACCCAACTAATTTTGAATCACAATTCTACATCAGCCAGAAACCTAATTGAGAGAAAAGGACGCCATGTCACATAGGAGAAATCAATAAAGAGGTGTCTAGAAACTCTCCATGGAGGATATGTAGAGGGAAATCCTATAACTGCAACAAAGGCTTGCCTCCTTTGAGAGGAGACAATTCAGAGGGGTCACCCATAGCCACAATTATGATTTGTCAGATTGAGAGAAAGAAGTGAATTCATTCCACCAGCCAATTTTCAGTGATGAAGAACCACTACCTTGATGTTTCAACTTGGAA